CCGTCAAATCTCGCAAGGTTCAGAAACCTAAAAATTAGCACGCGTGCTTTTTATGTACTGCATGCTTTTCCTGATTAATATGACCATCCAAATAAAACGTTATGCATATTTCTTTGTTCAAACCATTCTACTTTACAGTCCAGATTTAAAAAAAAAAGAATCACTGTCACAATTCTGGATATCTCTTGATAACGAATACCCATCGCTAAGTAATCGAGCAATCAAACTGTTGTCGTATTTTCAACAAGTTACCTATATTTTTATTACTTATATATAAAAATATTTTCATCACTAGCTTTAATTAAAGCGAAGCAAGGAAATTGGCTGCACGCCGCTGCAGGGCTACGTGTTGCAGAAACTTCCTTGAGACATCGTTTGCAATCCTATATTGGAAACTAAACAGCAGCAAAATCTTCACTAGAGTTAATCGCGTTTGTACATAATTTGGCATGTACATGTTTTTTTATGTGAGATGTTTTATGTGTGCTTTTCTTACGCATAATGGGTACCCAGCACTGCATTTCATTACGCAAATATATTTGGTCGGCACATTATTTGATAGTTTTTCTTCGTGTGAGCTGTTTTTGAGTGTGCCTTTTTTGTCTAGATGCATATTGAGTGCCCGACATTGCATTGTATTACGCAAATATATGTTATTCTTTTATGTTCCGGTCATTTCAATTTTTTGCCGGTCCGCGAGTACATTTAATTTAATTTTACCGGTCCGCCAGGGTAAAAAGGTTGGGAACCATTGATTTGGAGTTAGACCATGGGACCTCATTGCAGCTGACGACTATATTTGGCGTTGTAAAGGTTATTTATATAAAGCGTGTTAAGTTAATGTAGCTTACGATGTGACATACATACATTTTTGATACTCCCGTAGTGTGTGAACCAGGTTAGGATAAGGCCATAGTTTTATTTCGGTTTTTCCTATTTTAGTTCGATTACGAGTTCGGGACTGTTTGTGTTAGCCAAGTGAGTGAATATGCCCCCTGCATATAGGTTCCAGTTCCTTTACATAACTTGATGTAAAGTAGGCGAACAAAATTGGTTACCTCCATATTGGTACACAAACTTCTGGAGCGCACATTTACAAACCTGTTGTTAGTGAATTCGGTACAAAATAGGAACAGTTCTGAAAATTTCCAATTCAATCGCTGACTTTAGACCAAATATATTCTTATCATCATTATTAAAATTATCCATTTCTTATGAGATATATTGAAAGAGTAACATGACCAGGCCGGATGACTCGAATAATGACAAATCATAATGGTTCCGGTGTGCGTTAGCTACTGTTAAAAATATACGGAAATCAAGTGGAATTTAACTGTAATTCGACAATATACTTGTTGGGAATTCCTATACCACAAATATTCGGTAGCCAAATTTATCATAGAGGTATATAGTGGCCCGAAAAACATTTCTTTTTTAATTCCCTGTGATCTGTGTTATAATATGTCGATCTAACATGAGTCACGTTTCAAATTGTTACGTGAAAATTTCGTTCATTTGACTGGTTATTTTTTGAAGTTTATGGAGGCATCGAATTAAGAATACTCCGCCTTTTAAGATTACAGGTAGCGCTTTGGTTTAATGAAAATTCACATTGCTATTTCAGCAATTTGGAAGAGGCAACAAAATATCAGCTATTTAGCAAACCCAATTAGGAGCTTGGCGTTTATCTCGATCTTAATGAGGGGGAATATGAAAGTAGAAATATGCAAAATAGGCGTCATAATAATGTCAAAGCGATAATCACGGATTCATGATATTTTTAAAAGGCAATGGCTTGAGTTGTGTATGGTTAAATGATTGATTGTTATTTTTGGTCGATAACTTTTATCCCGAGTGGCGCTATCAATAATTTTTGAAAAGGGTACTGTGCCTTTAAAATCAACAGCGGTTAGCAGGTCATTTTTTCTGGTTAACGGTTGAAGTGTATTCTTTGTACTAGCTCTGACCAATTCGGTATAGTAGTGAAGTAATATTTATTGTTCAGTAGCATGCTAAATTAGGTGAGTCTGCGCCCGTATTGCGGGCGTGTATGCGATGATGAATCGGTGTGGTTACAGCAGCATAGTTAATCCGGCCCCGAGTTTAATGGCTAGAAAACCTTTTTGTGCGAACTTATTATTAGATAGGAAATTATGTGTGCTATTTTAGGCCTGATACAAGTGGTTAGATTAAACATACGCATTTCTGAGTTGGGATAGATATAAAACTTTATAAAATGAACAGATAGGCCATGCATATAAAGTGGGATCATGAGAAAAATGATCGTTTATGCAGAAGGTTTTATCGAAAGAGACACTGACATGATACTCTGATGTCCTTTGCGACAATTCTACATTGACTGACTGCTTCAAGTCTATCGGCGTAATACAAAGCCCTAAGTCTGAAGGTCGGTACCTCTTGGCATTTCAATGGTTTCCCAGAACAACCTTTAATTATAGATGAGTGTTTCACATCTTAGTGAGTGTGATTTTTAGGGCTGGGCATTTCGAATCGAATATTCGAATCGAATCGAATAGTAAATTATTCGAATCGGTTCAGAGCTAAATTTCGAATCGCCGCCATCTTGTTTTTATCTTTCCGCTAATGGTCGAGGTGAATTCCCCAATTTTTTTTTCATTGGACCCCTTTTTTTACAACGAAATTCTAACATATGACTATTTTCTGTAGTGAGTTATTGATAAAACGTGTTTGTTATTCTGTGTGAGCGCTCAGTAATCTATCTGGGTGATTTATTCTATGTCTTCGGTAATTCATGTGTTGAGAGGACCAATTACTATAATAAAATCGCTTACAATTATATATTTTCAAGTATTCGAGATTCGATTCGATTCGAAAAATATTATTCGATTCGATTCTGAAATCACAAGGTATTCGAAAATGCCCAGCCCTAGTGATTTTGCTTTGAGTCGATTCTTTTCGAAAAGAATTCTTTTATTATGAATACGTCATCAAGCGCCATCGAATCTGCATATGCATTTGCATATGCCCGCAGACAAGTATAATTGTGAACGCCACTACCATATTGAATTAGAGCAATTTGAATAAGGCGATCAATAATATGAAGCATCGCTTCAACTCTCGTTATAGCCAATACCAATCGAAGATTACACTATGACATCACAGTCATGCGTTGACTCAAAACAATTGTCATGCTCGGTAATGGTGCATACTTTATTTTTACGCGTTTGGGAATAGTGAACCATGCTAGAACTGTGAAGTACTATCAGATGTGTACCCAGGGTTTCCGCAAAAAGGAGAGAAGGGGGGCGAATAACTGAAAATGTTATCAAATCAACGTTTCATGCGGTAATTCCTAATTCGTCCATAATATTATAATGCGACGCTTTAAACTGGCTCAAAGCAGCGTCACATGCACTCAGTCAGAAGTGTAGGATACTCATTCATGAGAAAAGTAATGGGCGGACACTGAAGAGAGAGACTGAGAGAGGCACAAGCGAAGTCGTGAAGGCATTCTAAACGTTATCACGCTCCCGCTGTGTACTGTCGATCGTAGTCCCAGTGTCGCCTACTTTTTCGTATTTCACTTACACAAACATGAATTGAATAGTCCAAGCCAAGGGCGTGAAACCGTTTATTGCAATGGGTCAAACCCTAACATTGTGGTGTCTCTATTCACCCTGGGATGCGATTGTTCATATTTCATTCAATTCGTTTATGTATAGTTTATATTTTCAGCATGGTGAAAAAATAAATTACTGATTACTGGCGACACGGAGAGCCAAACCATCGAACAAACTCTTTTTAAATCCCAACTCGGTACATATGTGTCATGCCAAACGAACTTGAATCCAAGTATGGCGTAACACACCGTCAAGTCGATAGTGCCGGTAGCCCGGTACAAATACATGAGCAAATGCAAAAGACTTAAAATAGTGTGGCGTGAACTAAACTCTGTTACGAGTCGCATGGATACATTCTGTGTGCTGTATGTTGTGCGCCTCTGGTGTACGCAGTTGAGAGGCGAATTTCACTTTTGAAATTTACGAAATGGTGTAAGAGAGAATAATCCTCAAGAAGCCCTACTCTTTTACGTTATTGTATATTGTTATTCGTTAATTGTGACGCAAGAATAAGCGTAGGTTCGTATGATCAGTGCGTCATGAAAGAAAATATCACCATTTCCGGGTTTACTACGGAATATAAAGGTGACTATTTATCTGATAGAAGATTGAAAGCATCATTTAATCGTAATACCATATTCATTCTCTTTATCATTTGGGCACATGTTTTATTGCAGTCCTAAAGTCTGAATATACTTCGTATATCTTATGCGTCGTGTACCTTGTTTCCCCGAAAATGAGGCCTAGCCTAAAATAAGACAATTAGCCTGAATTATAAAAATGATTGACCCTTTCCCTTAATAAGACCTAGTCAATGTGAACGTGTCATTCATAAGTAAATGGATATTGATTTTCATATTTTGTATATTTGAAAATCTCGTAATCCTCCATTTTGTTTTTGATAAATGAAAATAAAAGACATTCCCAAAAATAAGCACTGGTGTTGTATTTTAAAAGAAAACTGAAACAAGACCCTGTCTTATTTTCAGAGAGGACAAGAAATGTTTCAGATTGGAATTACTTGCCCAATTTATCACACTTTCGACTCAGAAACAAAAACTCTTATTTACACTTTGCTTATTATCTTTGTAACTTAACAAACTGAATCAGCCTCGGTCGTTTACGTTACTTTACTTTCGATGTAACGTTACGTAAATATTATTGCAAAGGCACACAGGAAGATGCACGCAACATAAAATCAATATACCAAAGTATTCATACGCCTTCATGCCTTATAGCTTATACAAATAGCAATCACGAAGCGGCGCATGATTGTTTCACCACAGAATATAGCCCATGCTTGTCAGAGTTGAGTCTAACGTGAGTTAGAGTTGTTGTGTATCTGAATAACGTTTGAATGTATATTAATTCCATTGTATATTTTAAAAAGGATAAGTTTTGTGACTAGGCATTATGTACTAACGGGAATTCCACCGTAAGATCAACATGTCTAGTGCTTCATCTGAAGATGAAATTACTGACTTTGGAATTCCTAGTAATGGAGCGGAGGCCGTGACTATCAGAAGTCAGACGGAGAAGAAGCGGAGACAGAGAAAGTATGTTGATTTTGTATGCAAGTATGCTCGAAACCTCCCAAGCTTGAGTTCGTTTATTAGAGTAATTAAAGACTAGGGCGACTACATTTTTTGTATCATTTTGTGTCAAGACAAACTTTTTAAAAAGTTTGCGGATTTTTTGTACAAAGCCTCGCCATTCAGTGGCGTAGCAAGACTCTCGTGCCCCCCCCGCAAAAATATTTCGTGGGAATGACCCTAAAAACTCTTGGACATAAGATAAAACAACCCCTTTTTTATTTCGTCAAAAAGCTTAACATGTCGCTATTAAAAGGCAATGGTAACCTAAAATTTGCCGTTTATCTTGTTTACTTTAATTTTTTCCATACGTGCTTCCTTTTCTGCCCTGTTTCTGTGCGCCATCGAAAGGTTTTGCTTTCGACATTCTGACAGCCTTCGTGATTTTGCCGGTGCGATCAAACCACAAGACGTCGAAAATCGATGACTCCCTGGCATTGTCACGTAACAAAACGATTGGAGCAGAACTAACATCAACGTTATAAGATGTGCATTACTGGTTTTGCAATGCAGCTTTTGGTTTTGCGGCTTAAATTTCCTAATTCTAACCGCTTGGGCCCCTTTTCGCTGTGAGCCCTCCCGCGATCGCGGGGGTGGATGCTACGCCACTGCCGCCATAAATGCGAAAATGTGTGACTTACGAGAAACGCCTGCGCCACGTATTAAAATGAAAAATTAGTAATTATCCAGTTGGGGTTAGAGTCAGGAATGATTTCAAAATTTAAATTTACAGCGCAATATGCATCCCTATAGCCCTGATCCTCACTGAATAGTTATTAATTTTCCTATTTTGAGCGTTGAGCGGGGGGGAGGGGGTGGCAATGGCTTCATACCAGGGGTGTGCAAACTGCGGCCCACAATGGAAAATTGTTTTGAATGGGTTCTTAATTTTTTTTTAATCTGGAATGTGCGAGTAATTCTTATTGCGTTGCAAAGTCCATACCCGAGTCCAATTTAATATCAATGCATATGACGTCACAATGACATAATAGCTAGCTTCTGCGAAGTAAACAACGCATGACATAACATAATTATTCAAAATTTTTGTACTTGCAGCTACTAAGAAGCCTATGTTATATAAAGGTGAGGCCCGCGGTTTTACTCAAATGTTTGAATCTAGCCCTCCTGCGTTATACGAAAGATCATAAATTGCTTAAAGCAAGGCATGCGCAATCACTTTTTATCACGCGGGAACATATTATCGAATGGAATTGATAACGAAGTCGATTGGCATTCAGCGGGTCGTTATGCACCACTGTGATTTTATATATCTTCAATTGATCCTAGCATTTTAGTGGTCGCCGCGTATCTTTGCTCGGATATGAGTCTTCTTACTCGAATGATTTGTTCGAAGCAATTTTTTTTTAAATTCATATCAGCAAGAAGGTTCAAATAATTTCTCACGAAACGACTTCGCTCGAAAGTACTGTGTAGTGTGACAAGCGCTTGTCATCCATGCAGCTATGGCAGGACATCAATATAGCTCCAGTTTTTCGTACATTAGTAAAGCGTTTTTATGATGTCCAAAATACTACCTGGAATGGAAAGTGCTGGGTATAAACTATGATGTCAATGAAATAATTTGAAATTGTGAATAATTGGAACTTTTTTTATTTTTTATTTATATGAATATTAACTTATAAGTATTTAAATTCAGTCAACGATCAAAAAGCGCAATTTCAAACTTTACTATTGTACGTATAGATACGGGACAGTGAGTGGTGACTGGATTTAAACTAAGGTCAAATTAATGTCTTTGGCCATAAATGGATAATAGAAGACATCTAATTAGTGTTCACTTTTTCAGAATGAGCAAATCTGTGATCGGTCTGATATCACCTATACAGGATACGATAAGTCTGAGCGGAACACTAAAACGGGGATTGAAGAGAGGACCAGCCGATGTCGGAGAAGGAAATAAAGGATTGCATAATGCTCTAAGGGTGAATACATTTTTATGGTTGTAATTTAAAAGTTTTTTTTTTAACTATTGTTTGTAGCTACGCTGATCTTTATGGAAACGAGGATTTCACTTGACGAATTATAGGTAACAATAAAGTAATAGAACAAATAATCAGCAGACCAAAACATTCACAATAATGATTAATGATGCAAATTGAAAACTATTGATCACTTGTAACCGGTGCTGGAGAGTCGGAGCCTTGAACCACGGAACTTTGTAGTTGCAATTTTAATTTTTTTATCAATAGTTTGTAGCTACTCCGATCTTTAAAGGAAAAGAGGAATTTACAATGATATTTTCGCCTTCACTTTACTTATTGTGTGGAGGCGTCATGGTTGTTGGTTAGATGTTTCGATCTGTTAGAGCCCAAGGTGCTGATAAACTGTTTTACGTGGAATTCCCTAAGCCCAAGTAGCAAGTCGAAACATGAGAGTGAAACCCACGAGCACACCAAACACACATGGAATGCGACAAATTTGGTAGGTAATGCCAAAATATATGTATGTTTTTCGGCCGTTTCAGAAATAGTGGCCTTTGGTCCAAAAACCTCGCTCACTTCTGGTGACTCTAACTTAGGGGTTCTCACCCTTTTCTCTGTTAAGTACCCCCCGAGTCACGAAACAATCAACGCGAACCCCCAAAGTCACGAAACAGTCAACGCGAACCCCCAGTAATCATACACTAAACTAAATTGTGATATATTGACTAACAATTTGCTGCAACGACTGCCAAGCCGTGCATTTCACATTTTTGCGTCACAATCACAACAACGCAAGATCAGGGAAAATGTACGTCGAGTTTCAATTGGCAAATATTTTCCTCTTGTAGTTACTTTCTTTGTTAAAGGATATTAAAAAAAGCAACACACGAAAACTCGACTGTCATCCAAGTACCCCTGGAAACATTCTCGGGAACCCCAGGTTGAGAACCCCTGCTCTAACTTCTTCAGCCATGCGCAAACGTTCATCAGATAGTTCTAAATGGGGTAAACTACACAGAACCGTGAATATAATAAATTATTATTCTAAACCTGAACTCAATACTCCAATAGCAATGTCTTATGGGTCGCTAGCTGTGCATAAAGGATTGTTAAAAAAGAATGTAGGAAAAGTAGCTTAGCGCCCTAGTTCAGTGTTTCCCGACAGTTACTTTGCATACGACGTAGTTTACCAAACTTTAATTACGAAGTATTATTATAAAATCCTTTTATAGGTACATTATGAAACTGAACTATATTCAAGCTGTACGACTTGCGTGTAACACTAACTAAGGATTATTTTAAGATTGGAAAAGTAACGGAAACAAACTTTTTATGCAAAGTGTAGGAAGAATAATAAATTATAAAAAATAAGCAAAAGAAAAAGCATATCGAAAATGGTTAAGTGCCATAGCTATAGCAAATATTTTTCTCATAGCAAAAGCCCATTCCATTTACTATATAATTTATTGTACGGTTTTCCCATCTACTGACTCAAGTGAATCATAATCGCTATCACAGGATATGCTATCACATCATAAATATTGCAAAAACAAACAGTATATTCAACTTGAATTTTCTGTCATTGTCTTCATGAATACAGGCGGAATGAGCCGTTGTCGTATCAATAGATGGAATAAAAAGACTTAGAATTGGAAGTATGAAATCAACATGATATATAATCCCTTTGTGTTGCTTCGATATACTTCTGAGGATGTAGAATACATAGGAAATGAGGTTCAAATTTACCGGAAGAATTAATAGTGCTAATACAGCACTGTATTGCTTGAAATATAGGCATTTAAAGGTACCATAGCGTAATAATATTCAGCTTAGGTGCTTATATGGGTTGTTAGCAGTTACTGTATCAGTATGGCAGGTGGTATTACGAGTGAAGGATGGTATGCATGGTTTCAATCGCTATTTGGATGGCCTCCTTCGCATAGAGATATTATACTGGCATTTGAATGACTTTTCTTTTTGATGGCTACTGGCTGGGCTGCCATACTTGCAGCTGATTAAAAGTAAGAAAGATCGGTGCATACGCAAGCGCATAGCCAGGGATTTTCAAAGGGGGGATTTCTGGCATTTCTAATTGTCGAGTTAGACCGTAACAGCTAGCGGAAGTGTCTTGAGGAAAGTTCAAGTGTCTCGAGGGTTTAAAAAGCGTTTCAACAATCTACGAAATATCGAAAAATTACTAGGTATAATACAGAAAAATGTATTTTTTACATTTCAAAAGGGAGTCCGGTAAGCCTCTTGGTATACGGCCCCAATTGATGTGTTTGGGAAAGGAATGGATATCCGTTTGAATGGCTATTAAAGACAGCGGCTTTGATTTTCAGAGCAACATTACCAGTCAGCTACGTAGTCATTGTTGGTCATTTAGCTACTGTACATAAACAAAACCATCTATAGCAAGGTGGTCCAAGGTTGACGGCCTCGGCGCCACACTATTATTTTGTATTGTTCGCGGGTCACAATAGTGCCAAGAATAGGTAAACAGTGCAATACAAAACAAACACTTTTTTTGTCCAAACACATTGATCATTATTTGTCATTTATCAAGCTAAAAACCACCAAAAAAACTCACTAAAACGTTCAAAAATTACTATATCTGCATTTAGTGTAAGATTTCAAACTCTTCATAGCGGAGAAAGTGCCATAAAGAGAAAATGCCGTTTTCGATTGTGACCGACACAACTAGCAGACATATCAGAAAGCATTGTGGTATTTTCCCTTCCATATCCAGTCAAAAATATGTTCGAATTGGGAAGCTGTCTTTTCAAACTCATGTTTACAAAATAACTTACAAATAACTGCAGATTGATTGATTACCGAATTTGAGATACAGAAGGGTAATTACTGAATTTTCTGACATATAGGCAGCATTTTTTGTAATACTGTTTAGGCTGCTTGAAAAAAACACCCGGCATGAATAATATTGTTCGGCCATAACATTAATATTCAGGTATCAGACATAGCCAACCTAGGCTAATGGATTCCGCATTCGATTTTTGGTTTCTATGATGCCAAAATTGTTAGCATATATTCCCGACCAAAAAGATAGAAAGCTAGTTATCAATTTAGACTAGCCAAACACATTATTCAAGTTGCCTCAGGTAGCCATATCACTAGTCAATTCAGTGACATTAGTGATGTAACAATATTTTAGAAGATGTGACCCGCAGGCCTGGGTTTGGACTACCCTGATCTATAGCATATCCCTAAATCCGCCCATCTAAATATATAGAAAAGATCGGGGCCAAAACTTTGCGTGCTAGTACAGATAATCGCGAGCACATCTGACAGTGCTGACCAATGATTTTACTTGCTGAGTTTGGCTAGCGTTGCTTTGTTTGAGACCGTTACACATATATGTGAAATGCATTTTCTGTGCATGCATATAGTTGGTATATGGTGTAATATAAAACACGGATATAAATTAATTATATGCTTGTCGCAAAAGAAACGGGCAGGCTCTATGATCTAGTTCTTATGCATATGGTGGAAGGAATAAAGAGTTACAAAATAGGCAACAACATTTGGGAACCACTAGTTTCCGTAGTAGCAATTTCAAATCGCCATCTATATTTTGGGACATTTGAAAATTCAGAATAAAACTCATTTTCAAAATATGTTATGCTAAGCAATGCATCTCTCATTGTGCAACTTTATTATAGTATTATTTGCATTTTCTCTGCATGCATATAGTTGGTATATGGTGTAATATAAAACACGGATATAAATTAATTATATGCTTGTCGCAAAAGAAACGGGCAGGCTCTATGATCTAGTTCTTATGCATATGGTGGAAGGAATAAAGAGTTACAAAATAGGCAACAACATTTGGGAACCACTGGTTTCCGTAGTAGCAATTTCAAATCGCCATCTATATTTTGGGACATTTGAAAATTCAGAATAAAACTCATTTTCAAAATATGTTATGCTAAGCAATGCATCTCTCATTGTGCAACTTTATTATAGAATTATTTGAGATAGTTTCACGACGTGTGTGGTATATAGGCAGTATATCCATCAGAAATAGCGCATGTATACGGTGGTTTTACTCTTTTGGATACCCCTGTTGGGAATAAAAATGTTCCAATGAGTTCATCGGTATTATGAAATTTAGTTCTCTAGGAACTATTCGATTTCCTTTGACAATGAGTCCATTTTCAAAAACTAAATCGCATCGAAAGTTCCAATAGTTCCAAAACTCATGTGGATATTGTTTTTTTGTGATCAGGCCAACCCGAGTAATATTTTTTTGATACTCTTGAAGTATGCGTACCAAGATGTCGCATAACCTGAACGCTAACCTGGTAGACAACCTGAGTTCAGGTTCTTCAATTTGTTACTCAATAATGCAACTTCTCCCCGTGAAATTATATTTCTTCTTCTTATTATAATATCAGTGTGATTTATAAATATAGAAAAATAAATCGAACTCCGACATGCATCATGTCTTACCGACGAAAACCAAGACCTCGGCCTTTAAGAATGGTAAGCAGGGCGCCCGATGTATGTTTGTGTTATTGACAAAGAAATTTTAGTATAGGCTGTAGAATTTGATCAGTTATCAGTATTTCATTTCTTCAACATGCTGAAAATACGCAGCAGACATACAAAAATTAAAAGGAATATAAATGAAAATCATTTCGGGGTGAAGGCAGACGCCGAAAACCAATACTGTTTACTGAGCGGCTGCATCCTTGTGAAAATCTAATAGAAAATGAAGATTAGATTTCAGTGATGCTGGTATTTTTGTTTAAACGAAGGTGTTGCGGATGTATATGTGCGGAGCCGGATATCCCTAGAATGCCGACACCGGATCTAACCCGGGCAATTTTGATTCCAACTCCTCCATTTTAACGAAGTATAAAATTCCGAGCAAAAAAAGAGATCCGGATAACTCAGAAGCCGGTGACTTCTTCGGAACTTAAGACTTTTTCTGTTGTCGGGATTCAGTCGCTATTTGTGAATTCCAACGCGAGTTTTAATTGTAATCAAGTTTGAAAACATTAGAATTGCAAAAATACGCCTTCTCATAAGAATGAACTAATTTAACGCCCTTTTTCCTTTTCAGAGAGAACTAAAAAGCTCTGTGAACGCTCGTTCGAACAGCTTACAACGTGGGGAATCGTTGCACAATCTTAACATAAATGATGATCGACCTCCTTCGCCAAAATCCCCCGGAAAATGGGGTTTCTCAATGAGGAAGAAAAAGGACGATGACTCTATAAGTGTCGCCAGTGTGACGATGGGGCCGAAATCACCTAATCTGAAATATTCTGGTAATTGCAACTTATTTTTTAAAATACGCTAATTCATAACTTTCGCTCTAAACAAGGCCCTGTACGGGCCACCGCTGATATCTCCCAGGTACTCCCGAAGTATGTGAACCAAGATGGCGGACACCGGAACGTAGTTTGTGTACCAGGTTAGGGTTAGGCCATAATTTTAGGTATAAATACTACGGGAGTCACTTGGCTAGTCCCCGAACTCGAAATAGAACTGAAATAAGGAAAATTGGAATAAAATTATGGCTTAACCTAACCTGGTACACATACTACGTTCTGGTGTCCGACAGGAGTATCAGGACTTCAGGAGTATCAGTACTTCAGGAGTATCTTTCTCATACGATGATACTTTCATTTTGGTAGCTAGAGACTTTCTGGTTCGGCATTGGCTACCCGATTTAATACACCCTGTCGTCCCTGTGTGAAATGGGAATTTAATCCCGAGATTTAAGAACTTATTGCTTCAAGGATTTATATATTGATAGATACAGTTTAGTTTCTTAGTTTACGTTTTGGTCATGCTATGACAGTTTAATTTAGAACTTAGGACTTACATTCATATATATATATCATATATGTTGGCGACGGTTAATCAAACATCTCAAGTACACGGTTACCAGTTTCAAATTTTATACTTAACTTAAATTTATGTTTAGCACATGCAATTCTTATAACATTTGGCTGTATTTTGCTCACATTTAAAAGAGCCTATTAGTCATTCTACGACCGCGTTCATGTATTTGAGAATTGCTATCTTCCTACTTTTCGATACATAATGCCGATGGAATTCTCCTTATCAAATATTGTAGACGCTTTACCATTTATATACACATTTTCATACTTATCACTCATATCTGCTTTCGAGATACAAAATTTCCAAACATGGAAAACACAGGAATTAACCGTTTCCTCTGATGATTTCATTCCAGCTCGAGTAAGATCTCCGAGACCGGATGGCGCTCACCACATCCACGACGATACAGTAAGCATGCTAGAAGAGTTGCTTGTGGACACAGAAACGATTCGGCCAGAAGGTGTGCTATATTTTTGATTCTTTTACGTGGACTTGGTCATTTATTGTGGGGTTGATAACTTAATAGTAGTAGTTCGTTTAGGACAGGGGTCGGCAACCTTTTGTCGCTCGCGGGCCAAAATTAAGGTTCTAAGTCATTGGCGGGCCGCACATATTAGAAAGTTGAAAAACCGAACGGATGGTACTTTTTATTATAAAAATCAAGCAGTGATACATCTCTTGAATAGAATATAGATTTATTTCCTCATTGCATCTCTTAAAAATTCCGTTTGAATATTTTCAGCGCCATTGAACCCTTTGCACTTAGCATCAACTTTTCTTCGTTTTGTTGCCATTTGCTTAATAATAATTAAATTATATGCTTATTAAACGAGTAATTGTGACTTATATAATTGTTAGGTCATACTTATATTATAATTTTATCTAAAGAATATATACTTCAAAACGGATGTTTTGTTACTATAATTTAGTGAAGCGTCGCGGGCCGGATTATAGTGCTCCGCGGCCGGATTTGGCTCGCGGGACGTCGGTTGCCGAACCCTGGTTTAGGATGTTACATATAGGCTTATTGGGCACGAAATGTGCTTATAGATCATTGGTAGCTCATTGTACTTATAGCTCAAACAGCCCCCTAGAGGGGGTCGTAGACACATTTTTGAAGGGTCGTGAAAGTAATTAAAATTGAAATTATTTCTTAGATTTTATCTTGCCCGCCTTGTTCTGGATATTTACAATTTTTCATTGTTTAGAGATTGCAGAGAGCTGTTGTGCTTGTTGTTATTGTAGTTTATTATGATAGTTTCGCTAAATTGATTTGGCGTCGAAAATATGTGGTAGCATAATTAGCGTATAAATCCAAGTACAATATATGATGAGGTTTGAGATAGCCGATATAGACTCCTCCTCCATTGTACAAGAAATTTATTGACAACACACAGTATGGAAATCGGGAAAGCTATCAAAATTCAGATGAGATTTAAGCGTGATATAATGTACAAAAGGACAATAATATTGTGAATCACGTCCTGTGGCATGGAATATGGTTAAAAAAACACGATGAGATATAATTAGAAATCGTTTACAATGAATATTTCTCCTGGTATTGACTTGTTATCCGTGTCAATGGCCAATTAAGTTTCTACGCTAAAAACTTCTATCCAATAACCTTCGTTTTGTGGCATCGCCACCAAGTTATTTCGATAATGTTGAGTTGAAGTTTCACGCCAACTAATACATACTAACTTCGCCACAGCATCAGTGGGTCCATTTGTAGCTCTTAGAAAGTTAGCGGCAGGTCGACTGTCGAGATAGGTAGATAGATAACCCAGTAGTGGGATTCAATTTTTTTGTCAGCCGGTTCCATCATAAAAGTCATATTTTTCATCCGGTTCTATTACAAAAAGTCATTACGAGTTGCTAACCGGTTCGCTGATCTAATGAAATTTCGTGAGACGGTTCTATAGAACCGGTGCGAACCGGCTGAATCCCACCACTGGATAAACCTATGCCAGACTGTAAATTTTAATTAAATCCTTCGCTTTCTGAATAAATTGTGAAACTCGTGATGTCTGCGCGAGAATTGCGTGGCTGGGAAAACTCCCTCGCCACACCTCGAATCGAAGTCGAAATTTTCGTAATGGTGTAATAAATATAATATGATAAATATAAATATGAAGTGACAAATATTGTTTTAACACATATTAAAGAAAAAAAAAATTCGCGCGACCTTTAAGCAAAAATGTCTTCACGAAAATGGCTAAGCGTGACGTATTGCAGGCTATCTTATACGATAAAATCGGTGACCGTATATTTGAACCCACGTATATTTGTACCCGTATATCCCCGGGTTCAATCTATATGCGGGTGCTAAAACCCATGAGTTAGGGTTAGTATGGGTTCAAATATCCGCAAAACAATTTTTTTCATAGTTGCAATAGTATGCAGATGCAATTGTCGTGGGTTCAAATGTACGGGGACCGATAAAATCCGCTGCCGATACATCAGGAATCCACTTGTTTCGGCCTTTCCTCGTCTGCAATTTCATAACCAACTATACGCTCCTAGCAATTAATAGCAAAAGTTCTCTTACAGTCTTGGACTTGGTACTAATTTCAATACTTCGCTGTCAAACATTCAGAAAGTAATATAGGAAAATAATATTCCAAATCGCAAAGACCCTGGGGCTATTTTTAGCAGCAATTTTCATTCATAAATTGTTTGCTGTGGCCGCCTTTTGTGACTTAAGACATGCTTGGTTAACTTAAAGGGCTGCTTCATGGGAAACTCTCCTCCCACATAACACGTGCGATACGGATCGACGATTTCTTACCTTTAATTGTTTACATTTCTGTCCCGTGTTTGGGCGAACGTAGTAGGACAGGAGCTAGGACATTTTGTCTCGGGCAAATTCGGTGAAAGCTATATATAGCGGTTTATTAAAAATAGGAATAATTGTATAAGATATCTGGTGAAAATTTGATACATGGTCATGTCTGTGTGCTGGCATGTCAGAATGACGTCACCCTCAAATTAGTTTGGTATTTAGTACAGCAATAGAACACTAGATAAGACAAAGGTTGTCCATGTCAGCAAGTGGAGAAGGGAAAAATATGTTGGGTTAATTCTATGGCAAACCAGCTGCAGGCCTAGACCAAAATAAATTAGCTTGGTGTAGCTGTGTGGAGTATCGCATGTGGCTTCCTCCACCAGTCCACCATCGAAATACAAATAACTGGCTAATTCCATACCTACCTAACATGAACTGGTGAGCAGACGAGAGGTCGTGGTTTTTCATATGATCCAGTCTGGATTTCATAGCCTTTTCGAACGAGAAATCGGGCGTGCAATCAGAAATTCCCGCGTGCAAATAAGAATTTCTGGCGTGCAATTATAGTTCACGGCGTGCAAAACAACTGCGCTCGCTAAACTGATTTCGACCTAAGATACCTCTCAATACATGTTTGTGCGACTTTAGATACTGGTACTGTTCAGTACATCCGTGTAAAATTATTGTATTAAAAATACGCTGAATCAGAGCCATAACTGGCCAGCGTCGGTGAGGAGGCGATTTTTCTCACGGGATTCCTATCATTCAACACGATATGGTGATTTTTGCTTCGCATTTTTCGATCAGGCCAAATCTTGCAAGCAAGTATTAGTCGACAATTGTAAAGTTATAATTTTTTAGCATCTTTATATTACTAGATTATTGATTTAAAAACTATTTAAACCGATTTACATTGGTGAGCAATTGCAAATTTTCGGCGTGCAAAATTGAATTCGCTCGCGTGCATTTTTGTGGAGCGCTAGCGCCCTCGGGCGTGCATCTGCCATGGAATCCAGTCTGGCATATGATTAAGCCATCTTATTGGTTTTCCGGGTCTAGTATAGTTTAGTACCAAAAGTACTTCCAGTGGGCGTAGCATAACGATTTTTGCATATGTTATTCCTAACCCTCACCTGACTATGCCATCCAAAAATTACGTCACTACGACGTCACCATCACATCATAGAGATTGCCAAAGTATAATTACGATCGCCCGAAATGGTATCTGCGCCGCCGATAAGAACTTGCTAAAGCCGGCGATCTCTCTCCTATCGTGATCGTTGCAACGAGAAAACGAGAGAAATAGCTTGCTTGATTTCGGGTTATCGTCTGCGCGTTTTGTATGACCATCCGCATACTTCGGTGAGCCTTATTACGCCACTGTGACGTCGGAATGACGTAATTTTTCGGTGACGTAGTCAGGTGGGGGTTAGGATTGACCTATGCAAAAATAGTTGAGCCAGGCCAACTAAAAGTGGATGTGGTACTAAACTATACCAGACCCGGTTTTCTTCTCTAAGCACTCTACTTTGTTATTATTTTGAATGCACTATTCCAGTATTCCGAACTTGTAATAAAATAATAACTACAAAATACAAAATTGAAATAGTATTCAATTATGCTTCACTTTTAATTTAAAATTTTGAGATCTGAGTTGTTATCAAAATGGTTACAAAATTCTCATCGTCTATTGCTGGAACGATACAGTCGCGAGATGAAACATCTGTATAGCATTAAAATCATGAATCTGTTGATTAGGGCAGAGCTGAAGCAGTGGAGGGTGTGATTAAACTCTGTTGGTATTGATAATATTCTTTCCAGTCACGCTTGATGAAATTGCCTGACTGAGATGAGATTATATAGATACGAAAAACAATGATAAAAATAATATTAATATTGAACAGAATCATTAATTACAGAACAAAAACTATAGTTCATAGCAAACTATACTAATTTTGTGGTCCTTGAGTGTAGGGAAGTACCTGAAGATGGGGGATAGAAAAATTAATTTCATAGATGCTGTACCCCCAGATATTGCAAGTAAGTATAAAGATGTTCATACAATGAGTCCCAATTTTATTTCATTTTTTTCAGCGATTGTAACATGTTTCGTTATTCTTTATTTTTTAGTACGCTTATAATATAAAATAAAATTATTCAAAAATATCCTTACATCCAAATCCATAAAATCTTTTTTGTCTAGTTTTAGTCAAAACTAGGTCTTGATTCATTGATTAAAAATGGAAAGATTAATGATAGAAGTGTTGCCTGCTAGTACCAACTAAAATAAAATAATGTTTGGGGTCTAGCGAAGTAAACGCCGTAACTCGTTAAAATACCACCAAACAAAAATGTGATGTGAAATTATTATGTTTTTCTAAAACGAAGTCTGCCTGGCGCGGAATGGAATTCATGACAGACACGTTTAGATAAAATAAAATCCACTGAATTTACAATTAAGCAGGTATATCTCATGCCATTTAGGGGATGGCGTTGCATGCAAGACAGTCTTATTTAAACAGCTGTAGCATTCTTTTTTTAGCGATATTCGAGCACTTATGGCATGTAGTTTGTTAGACCCCTTTTTTGTGTTTAGCGTTTCTTTATACAAACAGACACTAATAGTTGAGGAACATATATTTCTGATCCGACATTGTTACATAATGGATTGTTGCGCTGTTCACATTTGTCCAAAAGTTAAAATAATACGTGTATTCACTAATTTATGTTTCATTTATAACAGAGGGAATCAGAGACTCAATTGGTCGCAAAATGACAGTGACCTTGAAGAAGATGATTAAATTGGAAAGAGGGCAAGGTGATAAAGTGGATGCCAAAGTTCTGGTTAGAATTGATAGAATTGAATTGCTTTTTTTATAAAAAAAAAAATGATGCATTAAATTTGTTGCTGTTTTGCCAGTGCTTTTCATTACTGGAAGAGTAAGCGTTTGCCAAATTATTTGCTCTTTGCCTTGCCCCGCGGTAGTCTTGGTTGTCACTAATTTTTAATTCGGTGTACATGGAAATCAATCATACATGGAAAAACTAATTTTTTGTGTGACCCGGTTAGGTATCTGACAAAAAATGTTGCACATCCCCGAACTAGGCAATCACTTTTAATCTATTGTGAAAGAAAAATTCAGTAAAATGAATGTAACTATCAAAATTAAGAAATGTAAAAATTTGCATCACCTTTTTTTTTAAAACTCTAATTACATTAAAAGTTAAACTACCTTATCTAAGACAAATGTCATTTCTTCTTGATAAGAAAAGTTTTCAAATAAATAAAAAAATTTAATTCTTAAGTTGAGACTATACATTCAAAGTATCATTAAAGTATGAAGTATGTTTTATTGAACTGTAACATAATTCTTTGTGTTCTGTTTAAAAAGTTTAACTTACTGAGTTATAACAAGTCAATGTCAGGAAGCTGTTACAACGCAATCATTGCATTAATATTTCCTTCTCATATATGAGAGAGTTACCGCCATAAGCCAGGGTTTCGAATTTCAAGTTGTCGTATCTAATGAGTGGATATAAACTTTTTTTAAATAGAAGAACTTGAATAAATGTTTACCTAATATACTGTTTTCTGGATTAGGTGTATATGTATTAAATGTATTCTTAAACAAGAAAAAAAAACAGTACTAAAAATCTGAACAAAATATATCTTTTTTTCTTGATTATGTGTAGATTCATTAAACGTATTTTTAAATTCAAAATCATTAATAACAAAGCTTCATGTGCTATTCTCTGTTCTGGGATGTGTGCATACTTTATATGCATTAAACATTTTTAAATGTTAAACATTACCAAATCTGTATAAAACATATCATTGGCTGTGTGCATATACAATAAACATATTTTTAATCGCCAAAACAGCATCTAATCTATACATAATGTACTATTTGTTGAGTAGGGGTCATTATATGCCAAAAAAGTTGACTCTCCTTTTTCCATAATTATTTTGTTAAAATCATTAATTTTTTTTCAGACTCTGACACCTGACAGATGTTTTGTTTTAGGAGTAAAAAGTCCTTTCAAGGTAATCTGCAGTCGTAGGTGTTATGAATTTTATTTCATGTGGTATTCGCTCTGATTAAGATTTTTTACCAGTGTCATGCAATCTTTTATGTATGAAGACATCGTGTATAAAACCCGGGGTGTTGGAACCTCAAAAAATTATTGTTGCAAATCCATTTTAAAATAATGTATCCATCGAATATTAAGGATTGTATATATTCTCAATTGTTACATGTTCAGCGGTTCACATATAAATATCTATCAATGTTCAATTTAATTCCAATTAGTATTTTAATTTTACATGCGAAGAATTTATTATTGTAGTCGAAAGTAAAATCAGTTTTGCGTCCAGAATTGTGGCCCCTCCTGGAAACCGCTGCAATAGGCCGTCACATCTACAAATTTTTCAAATTTTGGTGCAGAATCAGCAACTTTTCATCTGTCTTTTCAGGTTGAATTCAATTTCCATTTTCTTGAGATCAAAGCCATGGATAGCCCTACTCCAGACAGGGTAAGGACTTTATTTATCATTTAGTCTTTCATTAGCAATCAACCTTAGAATATAGTTAGTTGGATGTTTTGTTCGTTGAGGAACCGAAACTCTTTCATGGGTTTGGTGTTGCTGAGTTAGTTGACAAACAATGACTATTACTATTTTTATATAGACTGAAATCATAGCTGTAGCCATTGGGGCATGAGGGGTTAATTATGACCCTTTCTCAAATGTTGTCGCTGCTCGATAACCACCTTTGGTTCGCTCCGACTTTCTTTCCCCAGTAAAACTGTAAATCATCATTTTCTCGTAATTTGTGCTCATGTGATTTTTTTGCTGGTTTAAAAAAAATAAACTTGACTAGATTTGTTGACTTGGGCAGGCTACTATCTCGACTGAATTTTCAATTGTTTATTGCCTACTTTATCAATTTTAGGGGGAGGGAGTGGGCATGTAGGTGGATGTGGAGATCTATAACCTGTGACACCAGGGGAGACGGGTTGTGGAACGGTACCCTCCCCCCCTCCCCCCCCGCAGCTTGACTTTTCGCAGCTTGAACAACTTTGTAGGCCCTCTCGACTATTGAAAATTAGATCTAATGTTTGCCATGCTGAAATGATGCGATTACGCTCATTTCAAATCTATCAGCCTCAGTTCTCATACCAAAGCTTGTTCAAAAAATGATTTGAAATATCAATAACACAATATTTAGGAAAAGAACTTCATACAGTCATGCTCAATAGATTGTACTCGTAGTGAAACACTGTAATAAAACCTACAACAAATATTTGTTCAAATTGTAATTTATATATGATTGGAATGATAAGGGGAAACCAGTTTCTATATTGCTGAATTAACAATTACATTCGTCGGTTTTGTACATATACTATAAATTGAATGCTTTCACTTTATGCTGATTGGTACAGTTACATTTGTAATGCCCGATACAATCAGATAATCTTGAGACGGGGCTCCCGAAGTATGCGAACCAAGATGGCGGACATCGGAATGTAATATGTGTATAGGTTAGGGTTAGGCCATAATTTTAGGTATAAATACTACGGGAGGCTCTTGGCTAGTCTTCGAACTGATAATAGGACTAGAATAAGGAAAATTGGAAAGAAATTATCGCCTAACCCTAACCTGTTACCCATGTTATGTTCCGATGTCCACCATCTTGGTTCGCATACTTCGGGAGCACCCTTAGGACAATATTAAATAAAGTTTTGATCATATATCATGATATATAGCAGTGGTTCTTAAACTTTTTCGAGCGCGACCCAAATCTGAGTTTTATGAATACTCGCGACCCAATCCTAAATAACGCAAATGTGTTTTTAATGTTAGTACAGTTTGACTCAAATACAGACAACTATTTATTAGAAACAGTCCATTGATTCAGTGAGATTGATGAAACTGAAATTTACTTTATCATTATATCTTCAATACACAGCTCTAATTTACTTAACGCAATACGCAAGTTGTCACGGGTATCGAAGCGATTGCGAGCTTAGTTTTGATAACCGTCAGTGCCAAATATCCTCGCTCGCACAAGTGCCTTGTCGCGAATTGTGGCAGAAAAGGCGTCCGCTGTCCGTCGCAAACACGACATCCTAGCTGGCCTTCGGTATCTCTCGCAATATACAACTTTTTACTCGTCACATGTGCACGCACTGCTTCGTTCGCGGTAAATGGTGCCTCGAGATGAAGTCACATTTTCTCTAGATATTGAATAATCTAATGTCGAGAAGCGAGCTTTTTCATTGCGTCGTCTATTACAATTGTCATTACCAAAAAGACACCCATTTTTGGTTATTTTAATCCACTAAAACGACATTCCATGCGGTCAACACAACGACAAGCGACGTGCATGGTTACCGATGCCATAAAAATAATACACGTGACTGGCATATCATAATTGTGATGTAACAATGAGCTCAAGACAGTTCTTTCCGTGAATGAAATATTTTATTCCATTATTTTTAAATACCAGAGTTTAGAAGCTAAATTGAAACATTGGGAAAGCTGAAAATTCGTCCTTCTCCTCTTAGATTGCCCTTGCATTGACGACCTTGTCGCGACCCATTTTTAAACCTTCCGCGACCCATGTTTGGGTCGCGACCCATACTTTAAGAACCACTGATATATAGGGTGTCCATAAAGTCTTTTTAAGTTTTAAAATTGCAAAGGGAATTTATAAATAATATAATCATAAAATTGTTTTGACCCTCACAGATGTAATAAATGAAGTAAAAATACTTGAACAATCACTGATTAAAAACTACAAACCTGGTTGAGATATATTGAGAACTGACTTAATGGACACCCTGTTAATCAACATAACGTAAATTTTGGTGACTAAAGCTAAGGGGCCCTATAGATCCGATGCGCCTTATGTTACTTTTACTCATTTTGGCTCCCAACACCCAATATGAGTGGATGATTTCCCATATTTGCAGAATATATAGAACATTATTCAAGTTTTATATTCTAAATCGAAAATAGGATAATCGCTTGTTTTTGTAACATTTGTAACATTTGCATTTGTAACATTTGCATTTGTAACATTTGATTCACTATATTTCCACTGTTAATCACACTAGAGAACAATATATGCATTTTATATTTCAACTATCCTAGCAATAAATCAATTTGTGCGATGTATTCTGTCTTTGGTCAGATCAGTATAATGTTTGTTTAGAAATTCTAACGAAATTTGAAAAATTAGTCTCATTTTAAGCCCTGTGTTTTTAAATTACTCTGTTTGTTATCATAAGACTCAGGAATAAGGTAAAGGAGATTACTCATTTATGACATAACAATTGTTTATAGAGATATGATGACCAAGCCTAAATCAAACAAAAATGAATCTTGACAAACTTGATTTACATATGGCCCAGGCTTGAAGCAGTTATGAGATTACCTAGCGCAATATTAATGCTATCATAAATTTGTAACCTGAATGAACGAGACTCAATATGAAAGCGCTGAACAGTGAGTGACCTTGTGTATGACTACTTTGAACTGTAGACACCATCAATGTCTTCGTTCGCACTTGCAGCCTTGTCAAACATCAAAATAATTATACCTCGAATTTTCTCATTATGTATATGGCTGCCATTTTTACAATATTCGGATTTAAAATTAGAATTGCAGAACTTGGAAAGCTGCTTTGATAAATTAGGAAAACGTATAGTTTCGATTTTATATAATTTTTATTATAATAATATTTTATAAAATTTTTCCCACTGAAATCTTACAATGTGTTAGGAGCTGCTATTTTTGTCTGAATTTTTCTATTTTGGTACTGCTTATCCAAATTACTACACCATGAGTGGGGTGGTGTGCAAGAGCGTAGCCAGCCCAAAATTTAGGGGGGGAGGGGGGGATAATTTTTTTTTGTATTATGACGTAATACGACGCTTACTCGTGACTTATGCTTTGAATAAAGCCAGATAAATATAGCCATTGATATTTAACAATATCTTGAAGAATCGCTCTTCAGGATAACTTCGTTGTCGAAATTATTTAAGTCATATAAGCGCGCGTTTTCATCTATCTCGTCTGGTTCATTTGGTGAAAGGATTATTGATAGCGAGCCAGCGAACGTCCGGTTTTCAGTAAATCATTCAAGAATGGAGCAAAATAGTGTTGGAAAAGGTGTATAAATTTATGTCTTTTGGAAAATGCAGCAAAATTGCTTAGCTGCAGCTAAGGCCAATAGAAAAAACAGGAGCAAAGAAGTGACTGAAAGCATCTGGCGCCCGTCAACAGCCTAAACCTAAAAATTGTTATCAATGTCAACAATAATGTTACTTTTCCAGCTCAACATTTCCACAATGAATGGGAAGATATATTTTATGCAAATGATTGGAACTGATGACGCAGATCATATTATTGGAAGAGTTGCTTTGTCTCTCAGAACAATATTTCCTGGAGTTTCATTATCGTGAGTATATGTTGTTTTTCAAAACAAGTTCTTTTTAGTTATGAGATGTTACCACTTAGCTGTTTTCCTGATCATAAACGCGAGCAGCTTTGGATTATTGCAACACTCAATCTTTGAGTTGGCTAAAATATGCTTACAGCTCTTTCGCCCTCATACTCTAACTCTATGTATTCGCTGGACTGCGTTTATTGCGCTACCAGTCTTTTTTTAGAAATCGCTCTCATTCGTTTTGCCTGATACGTCACAAAGGATGTTGTGGCACATTATAAAATACTCCCATAGCACATTTCCTGTGCCATTGATATCCACCCACAAATAGGTCGGTGGTACATGACCAGATTAAAAAATGCGGTCAGTATAAGGCTGAGAACCGTTGAGTTCAATAAATACGAGTACGAGACGCTCCATCTAGATAGCTCAAATCACATTGAGTCTTTGTTAAATGGTGACTCAATAACTCAAGTCTCCGCAGCTGTGTTATGTACTAGTAGGACAATGTACAATCATAAAGCACATAGAGTAACATAAATACACACAATGCACATTAGCCACACATAAAGTATTAAAAATCCAATTTTATTTCTCTCCAGAAAAATCATGAAAGCATCTCTGGAACCTCTGAGCCGTCAAAAAGTAATTCAAGGCATGCTGAACCAAGCAGACATGCACGAGTCTGGACCTTGTGGAAATTTCTCTGTCATGTACGAATGCATGTGCAATTTTACGGGTCTGCCTGTACGAGAGGAAGTTGGATGGGTAAGTTATTTCTATGAGTCGTTCAGCGGTGGGGTCATGGGGGGTTACTCTGTCGAAATCCCTCCTGAAAATACTGGTTAATTGGGTGCAGCGGCTTGATAATCGATATTGGTTTCCTGCGGCTCCCCTCACCCTGAAATGCTTTTTCATAATTTATTGTAATTTGTATATCTAGTGTGATTTCAGTATGGTGAAACAATAAACTACTGATTACTGGCCTGTTTGTTACTTCCTGTTTGTTATCTTTGCTTAACTAGGAATGCTTAAAAATAAAATGAGAATTCTTGTTCTGAACAGTGCCATAGTACAGGAAATGACAACACACAATGACAATATTTTTTACGGGGCGTTTTGCTCAAAAAAAGTAAAAATATTTGCTAGATTTGATCTTGCTCACCTTATTTTGGATATTTACATTTCTTTATTTTGGGTTTTCAATGTGTTTTTTAAATAAAACATACTTTTGCTTTAACATCTGTTATTTGTAGGTCATTGTTAGCTAGTTATTGTTTAGGTAGAGCGCGAGACTTGACCAATTCTAAAAAGGGGGCGCGGCTTCAAAAGTTTGACAACTACTGATATAAATGAAAGAGCAATATTAGTTTTGAAATGGGATGTATCTACAAGCCTTTACTGACCTGGCGTCTAATTCTTCGTCCCTGCTCTTATGGCCTTTACTTTCTACAATTTCAGGATGTCGACACAATATATCTCTCACAAAACTGCAAAGAGTTGAATTTCAAGGATTTTGATCTACCGGACCAAAAGTAAGCTAAGTGTAACATTTTTTTTAAATAACCATGAATGACAGGATGTAAAAACTGTTTCAGAAATGAATAAAACTTGACTACTTAACCTGCAAGTGGCTAATGTTATCTACCTCTTAACTGTATCTTGAGCTGTCCAAAACGATGACCGTACATTTGAACCCACGTATATTTGAACCCATGTGTATATCCGTGTGTTCAATCTATATGCGGGTGCTAAAACCCTTGGATTAGGGTTAGTATGGGTTCAAATATCCTTAAAACTAAAACAAAAATTCCATAGGTGCAATAGTATGCAGGTGCAATTGTCGTGGGTTCAAATGTACAGGAACCATCCAAAACATACCTCGCCAGCTGTTTCGGTTCAACTTGGCAATTAGAAATTTTAGACCCCGTCCTCCCCCTTTGGAAATTTTACCTGACTTTCTTAAAGTCCGGATTCTTTTTAAATATTCGCATTGGATCGCCTTAGAACTTTTCCACAAATGAATAAACCTCACTCAAATTGGAAATTTCAAGCTTCTTTCTTTCTCCTTACTGTATTTTGAGCTTTCCAAAACATTGGATTAAACGTGTTGTTCCTAATTTTATTTTTCAATATTTTCGTCCCTTTGCCTGTCTCAGATTTTTTATTATATCTTTCACTATGCCTAAAGAAACTTATTACTTATCGATTTTAATCGGTAAGTATGTTGATAGGTGTTTGTCTGTCTGTTTGTTTGTTAGATGCACCCGATATCTCACGAAAGCGAGATTGAATCTGCTCCAGATTCTGCATGTACATTCATCATATGTCGGCCTATTGATTTTGGATGAATTATGTCGTATAATTAGCGAGTTATTAATTAATTAGTGATGGGACACAAGGTGTCACTATGGAGTAAGAGCGCTGTTTTGGGGGATCCCCTAACTTTCGATCTTCGATAAGTCTTCGGTCTCTGACCGATATTCTCATTTTTTCATTATTTGTTCAATCTTCAAAAGATCTCAAGATAGAGTTACGCGAATTCACCCGGTAGCTTTTTAAGGCTTGAATAATACGTGTATAAATAAGTATGACAAGAATTCTCAGCTAAACAATATTATCTCAACTGCAACAATAAAGATCCTCTCATGAAATACCAAAACCCACATGTGGAATTCGTTTTCGTATCTATTCCGATAAATTAGGAGCAAATAAATTCAAAAAGATAATTATTTAGAATATAAAATAATTCAAAAACATTGTTAGAGTGTCAATCTTGATTCTTCATAGTTATCAATGGGTTCATTGTACACGACTTCACTAAAATTGACTTTCTTTTCTCAGAGACTTCATACCAATCATACTGGTGCTGATGTACAACCGATGGTTTGAAGGACTTGTCATCAGGAATATTAAACTGGTGAGTGAATATATGAGATTAAAGTTTATAACATTAATGTTCTAAAGCCCGGCTTTTGTTTTCTGTTTGCTATTCAATCAACTGCTGTTACCATGGCTACTCCAACCAGTGGTGTCTGAAGTTGCTTTCTTTTATTAATTAGAGTGACATCGGGATATCAGGGCTCAAATGTGTCTCAAAGGCTGGCTTACTTCTTTTTTATTTACGGTATTTCTTTTTCACGACTTTTGCTATCATCTTGTTTGACTTTTTTTCACTCCCTCATAGGTGACGGTGCTAGATAACCTTCACTGGTTTATCGCGTCTCTCCTCACACTGAAACGTATTTTTTATATATTTTTCATAATTATGTTTGTCCTTTTTGTTATGTTTACTTTTGGTATGTGATAAAATAAACTACTGACTGACTGACTGTATCTTTTAGCTTTTTTTCCCTCCGTATGATTGAATGTTAGACGCACCTCCTCATGGATGACGCTGCCCGATAACTATTACTGTTTTATCACGTCTTACCTCACACTGAATAAATACAATATACAACCGATAAAGTTTTTCCAATTTTTTTCAGATCAGTGATGTCTTTGACACTATCTTGAAGGTTGTTCGAAGGTCGAGTGTTTTAAAACAGTTGGTCTTAGAAGGTGTCGGACTGAAAGGGTGAGATTTATTTCCAGGCTTAAGACATTCTCTGTTCTTATTAGGGCTGATGATGGTTAACTGGATTATCTGGTTCCTATTTATTGACTTGCTGTTCGTATGAACTATATGTATCATAAATCATTAGCATGTTGTTGTATTGCTGTCCTAATGATGCATTGACTGGTATATACAGTTTGTTCTGCATTATGTTCATTTTGCTGTTTGGTACTTGAAGCGTTATATGTCATACAGCAATTGTGTGATTTTTTAGTCTGGTTTTGAGGGCCATGTAACCCTTGAATGCCTGGACTAATGCACGTCCAATTTTATCATTTTATTGTTTGTTTTTTTGGTCTTGCATATGTGACTCAGTGACATAATTATCACAACGCCCACGTGTAATAGTAAAATTTATGTGTTATCACTTGAAGTCCGGTTAGACCAGTGTTTCTCAACCTGTGGCACTAGTGGTACGCAGAAGCTTTTCAAGTGGCACTCGAGCAGCTTTGAATTATTGCAACAATTAACTTTCGAGTTAGCTAAAAAATGGCAGAAATGGTTCTCTTTATCTTCCATACTTTATGTATTCTCTGAATTGTGTTTATAAGGCTCTGTTTTCAGAGATCCTCTCATCCAATTTGGGTGTTACGACACAGAGAATGTCATACTGGCCGTCAGGGTGGCTAATCGTGCTAAGCGTTATGAATACGCTCGCCACCGCACTTCTGATTACTCTTGAGTGAGTTCGCAGGTTCAAATCCTATGTGGGGATGGTTATGTGCGACATGATTGCTGCACTCCTCGCCGCCGTAGCGTGGTTCACAAAACCGCTGGTCGGTGACGGCTTCCACCACCATCAAGACCATGCTTCCAAAAACAGGAAGAGGCCCTAGTTGCTATATAGTTGGGCTATCTTTTTGGCTTTCCTCTCCCCCGAGATAACTTTGTAAATCCTATCCTACCTCATTATAAAATACTCTGATTCCCTTAGCGCGCTTGTGTGCCATTGTTCCCCACCTCGAAAAAGGGCTTTGCCGTGGTACGCGGCGAGGGTAAAACAATAAAGTATTAAAAAGGCAGTAAAAGCTTGAGAACCACTGGGTCAGAGAGTATATTGACATAATTCTTTCACTTATAATCCATTCTCATAATTACAGTTATATTGGATATGCATATTTTTTTCAATACTTTCCTAACCATGGAATGTTTTACAGTGAAATCGCTCACAAACTTTCACAAGAAATGATCGAGAATAAAGAATGTTGTATCGACACCCTAGATCTTTCAAACAATCCACTGGAAGATCGAGCAATCATGCATCTCAGTGGTGCTTTACCTCTGCTAAAACATGGAGGTGGACTCAGGATATTGAAACTGGATAGAACCGGTAAGAGCTGGTTTATTCTGGGTTGAACTAGTTTAATTCCAGATTTAAAACAAGGTTAAATATTGAAACTGGATAGGAATTGGAATTGACAGAGTATTGTTCGTTCTTTACCAACATTGGTAATCAGACGCTAGGTTTTGTACGCAACTTTTGAAATTTCCCCAGAGTAGATAAAATTTGTCGAAATAGCTTAAACTTCCAGGACTGTACAATAGAAGGAAAATGACTAAATATTTTGACTCCAGTTTGAAGACTTCAGCTCCTAATTAAAAAAAAAACTAATTTTGAGAATACCTAATTTTGTGAAAGCCTACTTCGATTGTTTGTTAAAAATGCCTGGTCAACTTAATGCCCTTTTGGTTTCGCCTGCAAATTTTGATGTTGATTATACCATTAGAAAAAAATTGAAATTTTGACTTCAGCTCTAGCTCCTTCGTCTGGAGAATTTAAAATCACGACTCACACACCAAGAGTATGTTCTTAATCATTAGTGTAATAAGATTGTCTGCTAACCTGAGTCAAGCAAATTTCCAACTTCTCTGTTCAGCTTACAAGATATACATATTAATCCCGGGGGAAAGGGGAAAGCCGATATGACGTCTTATGCTTATGCACGGCCTCTTTGGTTACCAATCCATCTCGGGTAGGGGATTAGTTAGCCCTTTATTTGGAAGCATGGACTTGATGGTGGAGGAAGCCGTAACCAACCAGCGGTTTTCGTGAACCACCCTACGGTGCAAGGAGTCCAGCAATCCTTTTGCATATAACTATCCTTGCATGGGATTCGAACCCGCAAACCCACAGAGTAATCATAGGTGCATTGGCGAACTTATTTATAACACTTAGCACGATGCGCCACTCCCCCGAGTTTGTTTCATGAACATACATTTTCTTTTCATCTTACTTTAGGTCTCAGTGCAAAGGGAGTCAGTGGACTCTGTCAAGCATTGCGATCAAGTTCAATAATAAGTCGATCATTGACAAACTTGACTTTGGCTGACAATGCAATTAAAGGAGAAGAAGCAATTGTAAGCATAATTAGATCTTCAACAATTAGCTCGAACCCTATTTGTCTGAGGGTGGTTTGAATGGAAGGATTTTAAAATTTTTCCTGGGATAAGAAAAGACGATAAGATGCTTAATCATATGGGTGACCGTACATTTGAACCCACGTACATTTGAACCCATGTGTATATCCGCGGGTTCAATCTATATGCGGGTGCTAAATCCCATGGGTTAGGGTTGGTATGGGTTCAACTATCCGTAAAACAAAAAAAAATTCCACATGTGCAATAGCATGCAGGTGCAATTGTCATGGGTTCAAATGTAACGGAACCAATCATATGACATACTGCTGTTTTTCGTCCGGTTTATAAAACTGCTGGCTGTTATGGCTACCTTCATCATTAAGTACATTTCAATCAGTTTCAGAGAACTACACATCGGGAATACTGTTTGCTAATTTTTGTGTTATTTCCAGGGTTTATACAATTATCTTTCAACGAAGAACCAGCTGCAATATCTAGATGTTTCTGGAACTGATTGTGCAGTTGAAATTGTAAGTAGATGGATTGTGGAATTCAAATTAGTTGTCACGTCAAGTGAAGTTGTTGTTGTTGTTCTTGCTGAGATTGCTGTTGTTGAGAAATTCCTTTTATCTTGGATCAATTGATTTTGAAGATTTTGCTGGTTTCCATAATTCACGAGGTCACCTTCATATTCAGTTCAAAATCTCAACATTTTGGATAGGATTTACATATTTATCTTGGGGTCATTTGAACTTCTGGTCAATCTAGATCAGCATTGCTGTCTTGTTTTAATTGCAAATTAATTCTTTTATTCTTTATTATTTTACTAGTACATCAGTGCAATGTCCAAAGGATGCATCGAAAATTTGAAGACTATAAATCTGTCAAGAAATCATTTCTTTGGAAAGTAAGATTCATGTTTTAGCATTTGAAGATTAAAAAGTGTTTATGCACAAAACCAAGCTACGTTTTGCTCTGTTTATTTTAATGGCTAGACGAGGTAATGTTTTTCAAAACCAAAATTTGATTGAATGTTATTTATAATGTATTCCTGTGGAAATTTTTTCTTAAAATTGCTACGCAGCCATGATTAAATTTTATGCTTGTCCACTCATCTTAACTTTCGATCTCTTATCTCTGCAAGCTTTATGATATTGCTATTATATGCTGATAATCAGGAATATGCTTGCGGACTCATGCTGATTTTCCTGAGTGAGTTCGTAGATTCAAATCTTTGAAGGGTGATCATGTGCAAGATAAATTCTTTGTTAAAATACTAGCAATGCTTTAAACAAAAAAGTTACTGCTATGCAGGCAGATACTATTTTCAAAGCGTCTGGAATCTTTCCATTTCTGCATTGCTATGGGTGAAGTGATGGCCACAAAATCCTAGTGCGGAGTGTTGCTGGGCATTTCGCCATCAGATAGTAGAAAATAGTTTTAAAAAACAATTTTTTCCTCGTTATTAGAGGAATCTCAGCTCGGCCTCCTCATTATATTGAAGATGAATACACAGGAAACAGGTTGTTATTTATGCCTGCTGCATGAATAGAGTGTTTCTTTCGTTAATTTATATAATTTGTTATTTATTTCTCATATTAGGTGACTTTTTATGTTATTCAACTAACCAACTATAGGGAGTACTATGGTATTGTCACTGGGCACAGTCTTTTCTCCTTGTCTAATTTTCACTACCGATCCGTATAGGCGATCCACGTAACCGCTGGTCGGTTACGGCTTCCTCCACCATCAAGTCCATGCTTCCGAAAACAAAATAACTGGCTAAGCATTGCTCTCATGCCCGACATGGACTAGTAACATGACTGGTGGCCGTGGTGTGCCTTATGATTAAGCCTTCGTTGTCATAAGGATACTTGGACGAGATCAAAAATTGTATTCTTCAACAAATTCTAAATTTTTGCTGGTTATGATTTTGAACCTGACTGGATACACGTAAACATCTAATAAAGCCATAAGCATTTTGAAGCTTATGTTTGTTGAAGTATACTTTAAAAAATAGGGGTTTTAATGCACAAGAGAGAAAGGATGATGGCTGTAGTTAAAAGCATTACAGAACTAGTTTCCCCAACTTTGAAAATATATTCTCAGTTTCTAAAATACTTTGACTTTGGAACCCTTTTTTCCCCTGAGTGGTGGATTGTATGGTTTCATTTTTGTTTGTTTTTATTAATAACTATTTAAATGACAATACTACATGGTTTTGAGCATTTGTCAGGTTTGAATACCAGGGATGAGCAAAAAAAGTTATGAAAGTTCCTTTTATTGAATTTCTATTTTTGCACCAAAGACTGTTTTTTTTTAATACGAGGCAGGGGCGTGGTTTTACGGGTTGGACCCCCCCCCTCCCTCCCCCCATCTTTTGAAATGTAAAAAAAGTTTTTTTTTCATATACATAGCATTTTCTTTGCTAGCTGTTACAGTTTAACTTAGCAAATAAAAATTTCAGAACACCCCTTGGCCCTTGGCTACGCCCCTGATACCAGTTATTGAATTCTCCAAATTACAAATCGAATTTTTAGGTGTAATTCACTCCTAAACGCCGAAGTTTTTAATGTATTTCAATATCCATTTCATTTTGGGCATCCTTGGTATTCATGGTGTCAAATTATTACTGGTGGTTTTTCAATTCAGTTTTTTCGTTAATTTTTTATAATTGATAAATATTTTAATCTCAGCACTGACACTCACTTTTTGAAATGCTTTTCAGATTTTCAGCCTAATATTGTTAATGCATAAATATCTTTTTATTCTTCAATATAATTCTTATATAACTCTGCGAAGTGGCGTATTGTGTTAGGCGTTAGGAATACGCTCCCCACCGCACCTCTGATTTGGGTTCGCAGGTTCGAATCCCTTGATTAATGAATATGTTCGAGATCATTGCTGAACTCCTTGCCACTGTAGGGTGCTTCACATAACGGCTGGTAGGCTTTTTATTTAAGGATTTACATATTTATCTCGGGGGAGAGGAAAGCCGCTAAGACGGCTTAACCATATGGCGAACCACGGCCTCTCGTCCTGTTACCATTCCAAGTCGGGTATGGGATTAGTTAGTTACTTGTTTTCGGAAGCATGGACTTGATGGTGGAGGAAGTCGTAACCGACCAGCGTTTACGTGAACCACCCAATGACGACGAGGAGTCCAGCAATCCTAAAGGACATAACAATCCAGCATGGAATTCGAACCTGCGAACCCACGCAGAGTTATTAGAGGGGCGTTGGCGAGCGTATTTTTAAGCTTAGCACGATGAGCCACACCGCCGCACCAAAGGTTATCTTCTTCCCCGGGATAAATATTTAATCCCTATCCTATGCCAACTACTGGTCGGCTTAAATTTCCATTCTACAAGTCTATTCATCTGGAACGATTAACTGTTTTTTAATCTTATTACCTGGATTGGTAACTAGATGGGGCGCTAAATGGTTAACAGTAAGTGGTGTTATCAGCTTTCCTTTTCATCATGATGTACATCAAAATTTCTATCATGAGACAAATTTTTAAGTATTTTTTGTCCCCAAGTAAAAAAGTAAGATTACACTTTTAAAATTTTATTTCCTTTTCCACACAGCCAGTTCTTTAAAAACCCTGGAGCAAAGTAAATTAGTCACGGCATCTTGATAATTTTATTTTTTGTTTGAATGTTTTGCTGCTGTAGCTTGCTTCAAAGCTTGAAAGATAGCAATTTCGTCAATCTTTGTTACTCATATTTGCTTATCATTGTTACTTTTTTAGAAATTTGAATGTTTATTGGGTTTCTTGTAATTTTTTGGTTATTAATAGCCTTGATGTGAAATTGTAAAAAAGGGGAAATCAGTAATTTGTAGTTTATATATCGTTTTTTTTTTAAATTTAATTATTTATAGCAGAGTTGTAACTGAAATTGCATGTCCAAGAAAGACATAGAACTCAAATTCAGAAACTTTATTTTCATCGTGCATGAAACATTGTAAACACGAATAATAATAAATAAAGTCGCAAGAAAAAAAACAGACACACAATGTTTAGACTGTAAAATCTATCAAGTCATCGTGTCAGCGACACCATCGTGTCATGCGACCCCATGAACTTATTATTGCAACTAATTTGTACGTTGAAATACCTGAAGTACAATACCTTAAAGTTTGGAAAAAAAAAATTTTCTGGAAATGGTAGTTCATAAGAAAACAATTTGCGTATCTGAGTAGAGCAAAATTTGAAAATTCTATGATTTTATTTCACTTTTGAAACGCTTGATCAAATATCTCAATTCGATCCCTATTCATGGAAATACCTAACATGGGCTGGAAACGGGGCAGGAGGTCGGGGTCCACCATATGATTAAGTCGTTTATTATGGGCTTTTCTCCCCCACGACAAATTTATAAATTCTTTCCCGTCCCATAAATTTTCTAGAAAGTTGCCAAAACTTTAGAAGAGGTTTAAATCATAAGACATAAAATGGCTTTATGGGTCATCTCACCTTCTGAGTTCTGACAAATATAAATGAGTACATGCAGGGTGTCTAAAAATTTCACCCAGTTTTATTTAACAACTGTAAGTTTAAATAAATTCTATTGTATGATGAATAAGAACTACAAGCACAATAAGAACTATAAATAAACAAAGAAATATTTAATTGTTAGTAATATGAGATTGGGCGAAATTTTTTGGACACCCTGTCCATATATATCATGAGGTTCTATTTCCTAGTGACAGAAGAAGCTTCTGTATCCATGATAATCAGTCTTTAGCTCACGGGTGTGCAACTCTTAATACAATGCGTAGTTCGCCTCGCACAAACTAGCTTTTGGTGCATTGTGACATCATAAAATAATAATAACTCAAGTAGCCTCTACATAGGCTTTGCAATGCGAAGGGATTGGAAAGACTCAAACCTACCAGATTAAATTAAATTAAGAACTCGTTTCGTGGGCCACACACCATTCAAAATAAACACTTTTTTACGGGCGGCAAATCTCTCCTTGTTGGCGCATTTGGCTCGTGGGCCACAGGTTGTGCACCCCTGCCTTAGCGTTTTTATGTTTGACATCATTTGTAGCAATCAAGTTGCATGTTTAAGTAGATACATCACTTGAATGGTTATGTATTTCACTATGTTTTTAGTAAATGATGTGGCTATATTTAAATTTTACTTTCAAATGTGCTATACTCGGAGCTAAGAAAGATATAGAATATTCCCATTTATACCAGTGATTCCCAAAGATGATTTACTCGATTTACCTGAAATCAAAATTAGAAGTGAAAGGATATTCGCCGGCCGGAAAAGGGGAGCGTCTGTGACCGGTGCTTGTAATTAAGATTCCCATATAATTGAGTTGTTACGAGTATACACAGGCTTAAAATGTGATAATGATATAACAATTGGCAGTATCTGGAACCCAAAAAGATAAAAACATTAAGTGATAAACTATTTCACCTAAGTTCTGCGGGCCATATTTGCCCGCAGGCCGTGGTTTGGGAACTACTGCATTATAGTATAATGGGAATATTATATATTTTTTTATCTATTTTTGTATAATGGTTTGCAAAATATCCAATATTATAAAAACATATGCATAAACGAGCATGGCAAGGTTACATATTTTTGTTAAGTTATGGCTTTTTCGTTTGCAAATTCATGTTGAGCAGCTTTCAAATACAAAATATACTTCGGTTTAGTGATATATTAGATTCTAAAAAAAATTCAGCTAAGAATGGCTATCGACAACTACCATATAGTTTATATAATAATCAGCAGACTTTTCATAATGGATTCAATGTTTTCATCATTCTATCTGATATAAATTTTCCAATAGTTTCACTATTTTACTTACGGAAGCTAACTTTTCTAGAAAAAAAAATACAATACATTTTTGACTGTTTCAATATTGAGTATTTATACATTCAGATGTAAGAAGGTACCCATTTTTCAATGACAGAAATTTCTAGGCTCTGTATAGGATACATATTATTGTTTCTTCACAGTTTTAGAAAAACTATCACAACGCTACCTGCGCCCACTCTGGATTATATTTTATAAATATTTTGTGTACAATATGAACTCAACCAGTGTTACATTTTCACATTTAATTTTATGTTTTATTTTTTCAGAAAAGGAAAAGAAACTCCACTTCCTAATACATTCCAAGAGGTAAGTTATATAAATATTGGTGCTAAGCATTCGGACTACGTTTGCCACAGTACCTCTGGTTATCCCACGTGGGTTCACAGGTTCGCATCCCATGCAGGGTTAATTATTTGTTAGACGATTGCTGGCTCTCCGTTGCTGTGGGATGGTTCATGTACTCGCTTGTCAGGTCTGACTTTTTCCACCATCACCCCATGCATCTGAAAACAAATAACTTGCTAACTAATTCCATACCCGACATGAACTGGTGACCAGACGAGGGGTTCGCCATACGATTAACCCGTTCTTCTATTCTATGTACATTTTATGTACTATAATTTTCTCCCTTTACATGGTACAAATATTTGCTTGTGATTTTGGTAATGAAATGTGAATAAAATGTGGAAATTTTCAACAATATTTCCTTTTTTTTTTCCAGTATTTCAAAACTACAAAAGCTCTCTCAGATCTTGATCTTTCTGGGATGAAAGTTCCTCCAGAAGCCGTGAGGTTGGTTCTCAATTGTTATCTTATTCACAATTTTTAATATGGTTCTCGTTGAAAATGCAAAATATACTTAATGTGTGAGTCAGCAGTTCAATATTTTGAAGTTAATAATGGGAGGCGTGATATTTCTGGTGTAGCCGGGCATACCTAGTTTCTTCCACTCTGAGTGAAGTGGCAGTGTAGGTGCGCTGTGAGTTTTTTCCCCTGATAATTTGGCGCTTCACCAACAAAAAGTTTGGAAACCGCTGCCATAGGCCATGGCTACTCAACTGTTTTAACCAAAGATCCGTATACAAAACTTTCAAAATTCTGTATAAATTATATTTCGACAACCTTGAGCGCGAACTTCCTTGGCTGGCTAGTGATTATTCTTCAATCAAGATAGCGCTATTCGCATTGTATATAATAGCATTTGATAAAAGGAAACCTTCACATGTCCAAAGTGGGGCCAATGATCAAAAATAAAGAATCAGGTGTGGACCAAATAAAATACTCTGAAGGTCTGGGACTGTGGTCAGCCAGTTAAGTAGCCCTGTCATAAAGTAATATGTGTAGAAGTTTCTATCATTAAAGCGTGGTTTTCGTTAAAACCACTGATCTCTTGTAGCTTCTCCCATCAACGAGTCCGTTCATATGTAATGAATAATTTTTGTTTTTCAGGCAGATCATGGATGGTTTGGCTCAGAATTTCACTGAAGACTTACAAGTTAGTCTCAACTTGAGCAGTGCTGAGGTGAGATTTTAAGTTTATTTGCAAATTTGACACAAAGAGAGATTGTATGGGTGTGATTTTCATGCATGCGGGGTAAAAATTTTCATATTTATTTTGAAAAAAAAGACATTTTAATTGTATGTTAGACAATGTCCAATTTTTCAGTTTGCAATCCAAGTCAGGTATAAGATTAAGTGACAAATTAGTCAATTCAAGATGTATGGGTCCATCAATCCTGCTGCAAATAACGGGTGTCTCAAAAAAGATGTGCCCCTACTCTTGTCGAACCTGTTTGTATATACTGTTGATGCTTTATGAGGTCACAGAGAAAATTTTGACTTTCATACTTACTATTTAAAGTATTGAATTCGACTCTCGACTTTAGAGACAGGGGTGTACCCAGTTTGAGGGTCAGAAATCCATCATTTTGAATTGTAAAAAAAAAACATTTCTCTGTTTCATACATGGCAGCTAACTGTCCGAGTATGATACAGCTACGGTCTTTCTTGGCAATCATAAATTTAGAGCCCCCCCTGCTTCAAAAATTTCTTGCTGTGCCCCTGTTCAGAGAGTTCCGACGCTATACTTTGATGGTTTGTATCTCCGACTCTACAACCCCTTGTGGCAACAATAAATCTTTGGCTGATTTAAACTACTATTGAGAGTTTACATCCAATTCAAGTCAGTTTATTTTATCCAGTAAAATACAATTGCATACAACATTCAGAAAAAGTGCTATTCATACAATTTTACTATGAACGGGAAGTCTGGTTATCGAGCAGCGACACCAGGGTTCTAATATCTATTCCTATTTCTATAGCTGAAAGCACCAGGAGCCCAGATGATCAGTAAAGTTGTCGCTCATTTAACGAATCTTATTGGACTGGATATTTCTGACAACGGACTAGATTCTGATTTATCTTCACTGCTAGCTTGGATCCAGGTAATTGTGTAAATGGGGATTTCCAACCTTTTTGAATACATGTCTCGGCGATGTGGCGCATCATTATAAGCGTTATGAATACGCTCGCCAAGCACCTCTAATTACCCTATGTCGGTTTGCAGGTTCGAATCCCAGGTTTAATTATGTGCGAGAGGATTGCTGGACTCCTCGCCACTGTAGGGTGGTTCACGTAAACGCTGCTTGGTTACCGCTTCCTCTCCCATCAAGTTCATGCTTCCAAAATACAATACCTGGCTGACTAATCCCATACCCGACATGGACTAGTAACCGGACGAGAGGCCGTGGTTTGTATACGATTGAGCCTTCTTTTGGCTTTCCTTTTCCCCTGGACAAATATGTAAATCTTATCTTAACTACCTTCCCTGTCATACCCGCCTTAGGAACTTTAAACAATGCTAATAACTATTTTGTTACCTCACTATATGTGAAAAGTCTGTTTCTATTTTATTTAACCTTTATTGGGTCATTAGCAAATATGCTTTGTAGCTTTTGATTATTAGTATGCATAAAAAGTCAAATTTCCTTCTAGAAGAATCGTGTTTAAAATTACTGGATATTTTTATTTTAGAAAAATGATTCGATCCGAGATCTGAAGATCGGCCGTAACTTCAACAACATTAAGCCAAAACATATGAAAGCTGTGATGGATGCAATTGTGGAATTAGTGCAAGAAGATAGATCGGTAAGAAAAACGCTTTATAGGTTGAAGCAGCAAAGTATATATATTCAAGTGTGTCACGAAATATAAATCTAATCCTAAAACAGTCTTTTTACTAACTCCAAATGAAATTGCCTCACTTGCATTAGTCTCCAGACTCCTGCGTGTCATATGTGACTGGACAATTCTGCGTAGGATATGTTGTTTAAAATCCTGTGAGTGGATATTGTGGAAGTGTGCTGTGAAAACGTCTGTATTAAGTCAGATAATAGTTCGCACACTCAACCTGAGCAGTAACTTGAACGAAAGGCCATGATCTGACACGCTAATAAACCATTTTATCTGACATTTTCTAGATGAAATTCTGTTGCTACAATTTTTATATCATAGTGGGTTGCGGAAACTCATTGTGCTGTTATTAATATTCTGGTAAATATTTAGCCATAATATTAAGTTCGCATTTACAAGTCCTGGCATCTAAAAACAAAATAACTGGCTAACTAATCCCATTCCCTACATGGACTGGTAACCGGACAAGAGGTCTTGGCTCTCCATATGATTAAGCCGTCTTAGCGGCTTTCCTCTCCCCCAAGATAAATATGTAAATCCTATCCTACTGAATATTCATTCTCTGTGACTCGTTTTCATTTACAATCAAAGATCTTGGTTCAAAAAAATTTCCTATTTTCTCAGTGTCTTGAATCCTTGTCTCTGTGCGACTCTAAGCTTCGTGATTGGACTTCAGTTTTACTCGGATGTCTCGGAAGTAACACATCTCTCACTACACTTGATATAAGGTATGTATAGTCTGGGGCGTAGCCATGAATTTTCAATGTGATGGTTCTAAATTTATAATTGCCAAGTAGACCGCATCAGCTAGTGCTGTTTGGCTGGAGGCCCTCCTGCCCTTAAAACCCCCTCACTACACATGTGGAGTCTGAGTTTTCACCGGAGTTGAGAGTGTTTTTGAGTCGTATTTTTAAACAGCAACGAATTCCCTGGAGTAGGGAATCAGGAGTAGGAATTGTAGACTTTCAATTAAGCCAAAACTTCATACTAATAACTACGAAGAATTAATTTCGCTCAATGTCTTAACAGATTTAAAGTTTGTAATTGCCAAGTTAGACTGAAACAGCTAGCCAGCGTCCAGAAAACATGAGTTCTCAGGAGTATTGAGGCTCTAAAAATCATTCCAATCTATGAAAAATTGCTATGCATGATACGAAAAATACTTTTTTTACATTTCAAAAAGGGGGAGGGGGTTCACCCTGGTTACACCCCAGGTCACTTAAAATTTTATCATTTTCCTCCCACTCTTATCTTAGCCTTATATTCTTTCATTCAACAGTGGAAACATGATTGGTGACCTTGGAGCTCGTGTTACGGCAAAAGCTCTTCAAATCAACTCCAAAATCAAAGTTCTGATGATGGATCGTAATCTACTGACTGCTAATGGATTTCATGAGATTTCCAGTGCTCTAGAAAAGTAGGTTTTATTTTTTATTTAGGTCATTGCACTCCCAGCTCTGGCGACAAGGTGCAAGAATCCTGGCAATTGTCAGTATTATGAATTCTATAATCATTTCTAGCACTGTAAATGGAACAGATAGATAGCGGGCTCATTTTGAAAATTTCATAACACACAAAAAATTTAAAATGGAGAATTATGGAGAGAAAGCAAAACTTTTAAAAAGTTAAAAACATGATAAATATCATGTGCCCGTCGCTCACCTGCACACATAAACCTTGTTAAACGAGGCATGGGCCATAAATAAACCAACAAAATTATGCGAATGTATTAGCTAAGCGCCATGTAAGCTTCGGTATCCCTGAATTATATATCTAATATGTTTCAATATTTTATTTGTCCCAACCATCTTTGTGTCGAACGTGTGTTGTCTTTAATTAAGGCTCTAAACAAGCAGCCACTGGGACAAAAGCAATTACTCTTTCAAAAGATTAAATTTCAGGGGTCATATGGTTAATATTGCTACTGCATTGTCAACAAAATTTCAGCCAAATAATAAAAATAATTGTAACCGATATTAGATAGTTGGAAGAAATTCATTTATGTTAGTTTGTAGCTTTGTGAAGCTTCACCGGTCATTTGCACTTACTGAAATTTTTCTTTAATTTTATAGATGTCGTCCATCATATGCATGTAGATGAAAAAACTTAATAATTGTTTTAAATTTTTTAATGGCTGTACATATTTATTATTTTCTTGGACTATAAACTTTGGGGTTATATCGGGTTAACAACCAGACCCATTTATCAAAGCAATTCTCAGGTCTTTTTCGTAGCTGATCATTATTGTATTTATTTTTACCCAGGAACTACACTTTACGCTACATGCCATACCCTGTCATTGATGCCGTGGCAGCAATGAAAAGCCAGCCTGAGAAGACACAAGCCTCACTGGCTAAAATACAAGATCTTCTGCTGAGGAACGCAAACACAAACAAAAATTCCAATGAGCAACAATTCAGATTGCAGAGAGCTGTAACAACAACTGCTCAAGAAGTTTTGGATAGAGTAGCAGGTTAGTTTATTTATTCTCTAAAGAAGACTCATCTCTGAGCAAAGTTACACACACTCACTCATTAGAAAATGATATTTATCTCTGAGCAAAGTTACAAACACTCACTCAGGACTAAAGGAGACTCATCTCTGAGCAAAATTATATGCACCGCAATCACTCAGAAGTAAAGGAGACTCATCTCTGAGCAAAGTTACACACACTCACTTATGAGTAATGAGACTCATCTCTGAGCAAAGTTATACTCACTCACTCATTAGAAAAGGATATTTATCTCTGAGCAAAGTTACAAACACTCACTCAGGACTAAAGGAGACTCATCTCTGAGCAAAATTATATGCACCGCACTCACTCAGAAGTAAAGGAGACTCATCTCTGAGCAAAGTTACACACACTCACTTATGAGTAATGAGACTCATCTCTGAGCAAAGTTATACTCACTCACTCATTAGAAAAGGATATTTATCTCTGAGCAAAGTTACAAACACTCACTCAGGACTAAAGGAGACTCATCTCTGAGCAAAATTATATGCACCGCACTCACTCAGAAGTAAAGGAGACTCAACTCTGAGCAAAATTATATGCACCGCACTCACTCAGAAGTAAAAGAGACTCAACTATGAGCAAAGTTGCATGCACTCACTCAGTAGTAGAGGAGACTCATCTCTGAGCAAAGTTATGCACAATCACTCAGGAGCAATGGAGACTCATCTCTGAGCAAAGTTACATACACTCACTCAGGAGTAACGGAGAATCAAAGAATCTCTTAACAAAGTTAGTGCAAAGAGCTACCTGAACCATATAAAATAATGGGGTGTTATTATTCACCGTTAAATACCGAATAATTTGCTATATGGAATACCAATTCGACTTATTTCATATTAAATTCAACAGAGATATTATGGTCACATGCACTCACTCGGAAGCAGAAGAAACTTATCCTTGAGCACAGCCAAATAAAGTTACTTAATTGAATCAAGTAAAAATAATGGTGATGGATTGGATGCCAGTAAATAATGATTGACAAGATATACAGGGTAGCATATTCAAATACAATGTGGCTCAATTATATGGCGAACCACAGCCTCTTGTTCAGTTACCAGTATATGTCTGGTATGGGATTCGTTAGCCAGTTACACATGGACTTGTTGGTGAAGGAATCCTTAACCGACCGTCGGTTACGTTAACCATCCTACGACTGCGAGGAGTTGAGCAATCCTCCCGTACATAATTATGCCAACAGGATTGGAACGTGCGAACCCACGCGGGTAATCAGAGGTGCGGTGACGACCGTCATCTTAGCGCTCGGCACGATGCGCCACACCGCCGAGCCAGATGCTTGGACTTGATGGATGTAATTGGGGCTTTGTCTCCTTATTTACTGTAATCATCTCATAATGTTTCCTCGTAATGTATTGGCAATTGAAACATGAAACATTAAATTTCAGGTAAAGTTGACGATACTGTGAATGCATTGGAACTTCTGGAAGCAGACACAGCATGCACTGATGTTGTCATCAGAGCAAAGAGTCATGTCAAAGATGCCAAGAACTCGAGACAGGTGAGCCGAGATAACCGGGTATTGCCCGGGCATTCGTTGGTCCTATGGCTCATTAATAGTATACATCAGCGGTTCCCAAACTATGGGTCGCGACCCACTGGTGGGTCGCAAGAGGAATCTCAGTGGGTCGTGAAAAGATGTAGAAAGCTTTGATCAATTATACTGGTTAACAGGATCGGTGGCTAAGCAAATTTTGAAATAAACTGAAACTTTTCAATTTTTCGCGTCTAAAACTATCTGAAATTGAAATAAATGTCAAGTCTATTATGGAAAATAGCAAGAAACAAGCTCATCTTTCTTACTAGCTTCACTGAAAATTCAATTTGAGAAAATAATTTTGTTTCCTCCATCAATGTTTTATTAATTTATTAAAGTGAAATGGGTCGCTGTGGTGAAAAATAGTGGGTTCCAACTCTAAAAAGTTTGGGGACCACTGGTATACATGGTTACTTCTAGTGATAATCTCTAATAATCTATGTTAGTTGGATAATCCACATATCGAACCTACTTACCATCAATAACAGTATTTTTAAACTCCAGAATTCCAAAGTTGATATTAGATATTAGAGCCTTGGGTGTCGCTGCTTGAAACCCCCCCCCCCCCCCCAGTAAAACTGTAAATATCGTTTTTTTATAGGTTGTGTACGATTTTTCTTTTACTCGTTGGAAAAAATAACCTTGACTTGGCTTGTTGATGCTTGTCAAAATCTATCGTGTTTATAGTTCTTATTTTGAACCGAACTTTATTATTAAAATCCTAGTTTTATATGTAGGAGATATGAAATAAATAAAAATAGGACTCTCGTATTCAACGATACACCATTAACTTTCATTACTTTTGCTTTATTTTTATTTCCAAATTAAGCTATTCAATAAGATCCAATTGCTGTATCTCAATTAAGGACCAGATATAACTTACACTGTATAAGTAAGGCCCAAGTTTGATCTTGAATTATATTTTTAGTCGTTTTTCAGGAATTGCACCAAAACAGGAAATAATTAAACGCATTCTCAATGCGGTTGCAAATTTATTACGTTTCCTTTCTATGCTATTAGAAATTTCAGTAAATTAGAATTCAATTTTCGTGATTTTTAATCCGGCCAAATATGAGTGTTTATTACCCATGACAATTTTATCTTATTTGAAAGTTGTTTTTCGTCTTACTGCTAAATTGATGTAAATTTCACTTGTCTTCCTAATAATGTTGTATAAGACGTTACATTCATTTGTTTATGCCTTGGATGTGTCTAGGTAGATTCAACGTACAGGTATAGTGTTGTTCACGATTTATGTGAAGATGTTGATGTCTGGCGCACCTGCCAATCGTTACGTCTATCGTAGGTAGATTAACGTGCAGGTCATCACAGTTAGAATCACGTTAGGGATAAATTTGTGCGATAGGGTTGGGGCCGTAGGAGCATGTTTCGCATAACTGCTGTTTGTTGTCAAAGTAATACCTAACTAGTTAACGATTTTCATACTTACCAGACGTTAGCCTTTGATTTTCATTTTATTAAATCGTTTTTTCGGTTTTCCTCACTTTAATTTGGAAATCATATTCCATGGTAACATATTTGTACTCAAGTCCTTACACGTGGAAGTGGAGAAGATACCGCTTATTTGGTGCGTGTTATTTATGAAGCGAGTTATTCTGAATGAATAATATTAAGTGATCTACATGATATTCTAGCAATATTATCGCTTTTTACAGCACATTTGGCCCGTTTAGCGAGTTGTTGCTAATACACAATTACTCAGGAGAAAACTAATCCCGACATGGACTGGTAACTACACGAGAGGCCGTGATTCGACATATGATCAAGCTCATTGACTTCCTTCTCCCTGGCCCCGAAATAAATATGAGAATTCAAAAATAACGTAATTTTTATTATTTGTTTTTCTTATACGTTCGCTTCTTATCAATTGTACATATACGTACTTTGCGCTATACAAATTTGTCCTCGTACGTTTTATTAAGTTTTATGTTGTCTGCGACACGGTCTATTGGACAGGCTCAAATACGTCTTTCTAACGTTATATTTATACGATACGTTAGCGATTACGCTACGAAGACTTTACGGCTTAGTAAGACACCGCCTCTTTTATTGACGAAGCACGAGACTTGGAATTTATTATTAAATTTCCTGCCTCAGGTCAGTATGTACCGCGTGTGTAGGTTGTTCGCCTATTCGTCGTAAGTCTTGAGAATTGGGTCAAGTATAAGTTTATTTTTACTCCATAATCAGCATAATAGACTATGAAATAATTGGTAAAAACAAAATAAAACTGAACATAAAATCAAGAAAGCAAACAAAACCTTAAGTAAGGTTTGAAAGGTATAGATTCTAGATTGAAAGGTGTTGTTAAAAGAAGTAGTACGTGTTCGCTCACCCAAGGACGTTTATAGTTGGAAATTATTACCCGGTAGAAGTTAAGCTGTAACAAGTTCCGTAATCATGCTTTTCGAATTGGAATAGTATCGCTATCAGTTTGAGTTGCTCACTTGTATGCTACTTATCCTTCTATGCTTCCACGATGGTGGATTTGTATGTTTGTATGTGCATACCGTAGGGTTGGTGTTGCAATGGTCAGGGTAACTATTCAAACCGATTTAAGAGCCTTGCCTTATTTTAACACAAATTCAAATATAGGTTAGCGTATGAAGTGCAGTTTGACGTACCTATCTATCTTTCTTCTATATTTATGCGTCGATTGATCCGTGTATAATGCACGGGTGATGTAGCAAGAATAAAGTGTGGTAAGATTTTTGAATTACTTAAAATGTGATACAGTAGTACTGTTATAACTCAGCCGATATTATAGAAGGATAATTGTGCATGTGTTCAATATGGCCCCAATAGCATAGAAATTTATTAATGGCGTGGCGGTGATTGGAGCATATGTCCATCCTCTATCATAATCTGTTGTTATTTAGCAGCCCAATGGCCATTTGAAAAAAAGATTGCGACCATATATCTATCCCTATTCCCAGCCTGCTGTCTGCATAGTAGCGCAATGGCCTTTTAGAGGGGAGGCCATTCAACTGGCGAAAGAGACCATTTATCCATCTGTATTCCCAAATGTTAGCTAGCTTAGGGCCTTGGAAATATTGCCGCAATTAAACTGTAATTTATATTATGCATCAGTTATTCATGTTTACTTTAATTATAATTTAGGTATTTACTCGCTGATGACTTCCGTGATATAATTTGTGAAAGACAGGAAGCTAATTATTACGTCATATGCCCCAATTTTCTATTAAAACAGGCGGATACACATTCGTCCTCACGAAAACATACCCCTGGAAACTTCATTTAATTTAGTCAGTGATTGAATCCGGGTACTCATGTACTTTGAAACAGTCGATTGTAAAAGCTACAGAAAATGTACGAGTTCCTTGAGAAAAAACGTCATCAAAAATCCTCGCAAAGGAGGCTATTACTTTATTACTTGGTGTATTTAGGTGTCACTATCTTTATTTTTAGTAACTATTGAGCTTCTAAATTAAACGATTTATTTAAAATATTATACGTGAAGGCGAATACGGGAAGATTTAGCTTAAATGACCGTGTGGCCATATCCCTGCTGTGTATATTATATATTTTTGGATACTCCCTTAGTATGTGTATCAGGTTAGGGTAAGGCCATAATTTTATTCCAATTTTCCTCATTTTGTTCTATTACGAGTTCGGGGACTGTTTGTGTTAGCCAAGTGAATGTACCCATTGCCAATAAGTTTCATTCCCTTTACACAACTTAATGTAAAGTAGGAGAACAAAATTAGTTACCTCCATATTGGTACACACACTTCTGGACCGTCAAACAATTTATTAAAAATCAGTATATAAAGGTGAACTTGGAGGCATTCCGTCCGGCCATATACTTCCTGTGTACGTTGTATATTTTTGTTGTTGCGGTTACTGTTTTCTAGTTGGTGATGCAACGAATGCATCTCTACTTTGAAATGCAAGGTATATTGCTGCGTAATTTATATAGACCTATTTAAATCTTAGTTGCATGCGCCCCAGGGTTGAATATTGTACGTATAGATATGATAAGAGTTTGCCATAAATCACTGCAACGTTAGCCTAGCAATATTTTCACAAAAATGATTGTTCGATATAATGACAAGCAGTTAGAGCAGTGGTGGGCAAATTACTGCCAACGGGCCGCATCCGGACCACCGACGTGTTTCATCCGGCCCACTTGTGTTTGCTGAAATAACGACTGTAGTTTTTATTGATATGGGTTTCTGTTGAAAATATCGATGAAAATAACGAAATGTTGGAAAAATGTAATTCCCCACGGCCCACATATTATCTGAACCTGAATATAATGTGCAAAACGAGCCACCTTGAATTCGCCGAACTCTTTACGTCATTTTAAAACTGTGGCGTTTCTGCCAAGACTAGCGCCCGAGACTAGCGTTTAGGCCTGAAAATTACGTTTTTTTAGGAAGCTTCACATTTTCCGTGCGATTATTCTGTCTATATTCGTGTCAATTGCTAAAAACCTATTGCTTTATATCAGTGAAACGAGCAGGCAGGCGATTGTTATCGACGCTAGATTAGGGTTGCCATACCGTCAGGAAAATTCCGGACATGCCTGGAATTTAGGGTTAAATTTTGCGTCCGGCAGGAATTTAAAAAATGCTTAAATGTCCGGAATCCGGAATCCGGAATTTTACTGCATCTGCAATCGTACTGTGCACACTGCTAATAAAGAACATTGTTATTTCGTACCGTGCGCATATTTTTTACTACGAGGTCATGAAAATACTCATGAACTGTCCGGCATTTTGCTTTTTCAAATATGGTGACCCTACGCTGATGTTCATAAATAAACTGTTTAGGCTGGTTGGTTACGTCTTCCTCCACCACCAAGTTCATGCATCTGAAACTGATAACTAACTATTCCCATAACCAACTTAGACTGGTCACCGGACGCGATTCCGTGGTTATTTATATGATTGAGCCTTCTCTTCGGCTTTCTTCTCACA